GCTGGCTTTGCAAGGGTTGCTCGGCGGGCCAGCAGTGGTAGTAGTCCGCCCATCCCCCAGCAGGCTTAGTTTAAAGCCCAGTGGAGCAGGTCAGGCAGTCTGGCTGAGAAGAGCCTCCTCCCCAGGGGAGAGAGGTGGAGGCCATCTCTTCCCAGCAGCTCGCTGCCTCTCTTGCCAAAAAACGGGCTGTGGTCATGGAAGCCAAGCCTTCCCGATGACACTAGCGCCGCAGTCTTTGGTTCACTACATGGATCCTCCTCTCCCTCCTCAGCCCATACCCCGAGACTGAAAGGATCAAAGAAAACACCACCTGTGCTCCCAGACCCTTAAGCCCTATTATGCTGGTGCCCCTAACACCCCGTCCACAGCCCCTTGGACCCTGCTGGTGCTCCTCACTCCCCATCCACAGCTTCCCACCTCCCCTCCCAGCCCTGCAGGAGGGGGACCCCAGCTGCCAGGACCAGGGGCCAGGGACCCGGGTCCATAGCCCACGCCCCGCGCAGCAGCACTCGAGTCCAGGCTGCCGCATGTAGGAGGTGGCCACTGCATTGGAGCAGAGCGTGGAGCCCAGTTTCCCCTCCCACCTGGGCAGCGTAGCTGGAGTAGCTCAGTGGGGGAGCGGGCTGCCCACTGTGGGCTTGGGGCTCCCTGCCCTGCTACCCTTCCCCTGAGAACTCTGCCAGCATGCAAGGGTAGACCCTCTATTTCCCATGATTTTCTTCTTTAAAGGAGAAAATCTGGACTTTTCTTCTCAAAAGAGAAAATCTGTGTTTTACCACGTTCTTCCATGGCAAATGGACAACCCAGATCCCTGCAGATAAGGTACATCTCACTAGGATATTATAATATATAAGCTAAAGGATCCTCAAAGAAAGAATATGTAATCGACAAATCATAGTTGGAAAATAAGATTTTGAAATGCTAAAATCGCTCCAGGTACATTAGATGTACCACTAAAAGAAAGACATTAATTAACATGTCACCTGAAAATCAATTTGGGTTTTAAAATTTTTCCCTGCTTTGTTATAAGAACACTCTCTTTGATGAAGAAAGATATATAAAATTGTTAAAAATATATAAAATTATGAAATATATATAAATATTATGTGTTTGTAAGCATTTTGATATGCTTACAAAGTCAGTTTCATCATTTCTTCTGAAAGTCATTTAGACCTAGATTTTACAGGTATAGTCAATCCTTATTAATTGCAACATGTCAAATCCCCAATGCAATGTTGCTCTTTAGCAGCTGTTGCTGTTCTGGGGAATGTCATTTGAACATATTATATGGAAAATGATCCAGGGGAAATCCTGCTAGTAAGAGGTTGTGGTTCTTACAGATGAGAGAGTATCAACTGAATTATGAAGACAAATTTCAAAGTAATTACCTATTTGCTTTAACCTACTGACAAGTTTGCAGAAATAGTCCTTAATTATTTAGGCATCAAGTCTGCAATGCACTTGGCAAGCGGCAAAACTACACAGATCCCAGTTGTCCCCCAGCAGGTAATGCATTGCAGGTTCAGGTTTTAATTGGTTTCTCCTTTTGTTCTTATGAGCTTGTCAACACAGGAGCAGGAGAAGGAATGAAATTTAATTGCAGAATGAAATTGTGACTGTGAAGGGATTTGGGCAGGTGCAGCATTGGAAATTTATTTAAACTTATTTTTATGTACTGACATACCTTCGTGCTAGGTGCCTGTTTAACATGCGCTGACAAATTCGCATGCACAAATTGCTGAAAGAATAGAGCTTAATCCTGCCCTACAGCCAAATTAGCTACATTGAGAGAAACTGCTGGTGTGAACAAGGATTGGCAGTGTTGAGTGTATAATTTGTACCTGTTACCTAAAACCTGGTATAGTCAGTCTATGCCTTGTAGTCTCAGAATGTTTTGTACTCATGCTATGCTCAACTCTGGAAATTTGAAAGCAGCTGAACTACTAAAACTGCAGTATTAACTGTTGTAGCCTTGGTATAAACCAACACCAATTTTCAATTTTTTTATATTATAGCCCCCAGAACCAGTGGGAGAAGGAGGAGAAACTAAAGAAGGGACACCTGAGGAATTTGTTTACAAGCCTCCTGTCCCTAAACCTTGGGTCTCTCTTGGCAGCGAAAAGGAAGTTGAAGAAGAATCAGTTAAAGAAACTGTCACAAAGGTCAGAGTTGGTTGATGTTCAATCGAATAAAATTAGTACAAAAATCCTCTTAAAATAAATTCCCTAAAAGAATAAAAAACAATAAATAGAGGCAGGCCTGAAATACCTGTGGTCATCCTAGCTTTGAAGTGAGATGAAACTAGCTAGACCTCTACAAATCAGAAAATACTCTCCACTGGTTTTATATGGATCTAAAGTGTCTGCGACTCTTGTTGACAAAGGGAGAACTGTAATGTACCATATTTATTTGAATTTAAGATGACCCTGAATATAAGATGACCCCTCAATCATTAGATTTTATGTATGAAAAATTTATAAATTTGTTATAATTTTCCAGGTATGTAATCTAATTATGGAGGGTTGTCTTGAATTTGTCCCCTTCCCACTGCTACAGCAGGGGAAATAGTGATGGTGAGGAGGGATCAGGTGACTGCCTTGCCTTCTGCTCTCTGCCCCCCCTTCTTTTTCCTGCAGTCTTCCTGCCCCCACAGTCTCTGGCTCTCCTCCACCCCATCCCTTACTGCTCAGGCTCTGTTCCCTCCCTGAGGACAGCATGTGAGTTATATGTGACAGTAAGGCAGGGGAGCGTCAGTGGGGAGCAGAAGCTGCAGAGGGCAAGCAGAGGAGGTGCAGGAGGCCACTGGGTCTCACTCTGACCCCTCCCACCTCCACTTTGGACAGGAAAACTTTGTTAATTTAAAACACAGGGAGCCACAGGGAAATAAATATGCACACTGTAATTAGCATAAGTGCATACAGTAATATATGCAAGTTACTATGAGTGCCTGAAGAACTGATACATTTTAACTTGTTGCAAACTGCTGCAAGTTTCAGTACAAGTACTCTATAAACACACTTTTGAACAGCACTTTTATATCTCCTTATACATAGTATATACTATGTCCAAAGCCAACAGACTCATGATTTACCATATAGTTCATTGGGCTGGGCCCCAACAGAGTCAACAGCATTTCAAGCCATGTTGTCCCCAAAGTTCACTGGTTCAGTATGTGTGTGTGCTCCAGATACTCCCGCAAAGGATCTGTATGCTAATTAGCCCCCATTCACGCCTGGAACCATATGTTCCTGTCATAAGTCCTGAGATCCTCCAAATATGTATATGCAGATGAGGTGTGGGGCTGCCTGGTCTGGCTTCACCCCACGGAGGGCAAGGCCACACTGATCACATGCAACAGGCTGAGAGAGGGTGATAAAGCCTCTTATCTATAAAGAAGTTTGTTGAGGTTTGCAAAACATTTAAAGCTTACGAAGAAATAGGAATAATTGGAAACAGGAAAGAAAAGTGTTGCTCAGCTTTGGGAGTGAAGATAAAATGGAAATGTATTTGCTATAGTGGTTCACCATGACTTTAAAAAGAGTCAGCAGTGAGGGGGACTGAGCACAGTGAACACCATATTTTATTCCGATGGCCTGTACTAATGGTCACACGTGGCCTTGTGGTCAGTTCCCATCAACCATTTTGGCATGAGGGGAAGGTGGTCAGAGCTTGCTCCAGCCTCTCCAAGTGCCAGCCTCATATTGTAATACCTCCAGGCCTGGTGTTTGTTCTCTCCTAGGGGAGTGAGAGATTGCAGAAGGATCTGGATAGGTTACAGGGGTGGGCTAACAGGAACAGGATGCGTTTCAATACGGACAAGTGCAGGGTGCTGCACTTGGGCAGTAGGAACCAGCAGCACACTTACACAATGGGGAACTCCCTACTTGAGAGCACGGAGGCAGAAAGAGATCTTGGAGTCATTATTGACTCCAAGATGAACATGGGCCGACAATGCGAGGTCATGGTTGGCAGGGCTAACCGGACCTTGTCGTGCATCCACAGGTGCATCTCGAGTAGAGCCAAGGAGGTGATCCTCCCCCTCTACGCGACGCTGGTCAGGCCACAGCTGGAGTATTGTGTCCAGTTCTGTGCGCCCCATTTCAAGAGGGATGTGGACAACATGGAGAGGGTCCAGAGGAGGGCCACCCGCATGATCCGGGGACAACAGGGCAGACCCTACAGTGAGAGACTGCAGGACCTGAACCTATTCAGCCTCCACAAGAGAAGGCTGAGGGGGGACCTGGTGACCGTCTATAAACTCACTAGGGGGGACCAGAAGGGTTTGGGGGAGACGCTGTTTCCCCTAGCGCCCGCTGGCATAACAAGGAGTAATGGGCACAAGTTGATGGAGAGGAGGTATAGATTGGACATCCGCAAAAACTACTTCACAGTTAGGGCGGCTAGGAGCTGGAACCAACTTCCAAGGGAAGTGGTGCTGGCCCCTACCCTGGGGGTCTTTAAGAAGAGGCTGGATGCCTACCTGGCTGGACTCATTTGAGTCCCGTTTCTTGTTTTGGGGTTTTGTTGTTCTCCCGCCCTGGTGGGAGGTCGGGTTAGAAGATCTACTAGGTCCCTTCTGACCCTAAATCTATGAAACTATGAAACAACTGCTAAGGGCCACATGAAAGGAAAGTACCTGGCAGAGGAGATACCATGAACAACAAGGTGGTTCTCCCAGGGTCAGACCTGTCCTTTGCATTCTGGGCAGGCTGACCCCTGCAAGTTTCTCTGAATGTGGAAAACTTGACTGCACAATTTTGTGGCAGTGAGGGACTGTGCTCATGGTTCCCCCATAACTTTCTCCATGGCCTTTTAGCTACGAGAAAGCGAAACTAGGACATCTGAACTCCAAGACTTCAGGGCTTGCACATAGCATCCCTGCTATGGATTTGGAGAGTATCTGAAGTCACAGACTAATATTTGCCCTATGGTGGAGCCACACACACACACGAACGATTGATCTCTGCTCTGTTGAAACTTGGAATTTGAACTGAACAAATTCAGAGCTGTTTTGGCTCTCGAAATGAAATTTAAAAACCAGTTCCCATCTGCATTTTTGGCACCAGAGAAGAGTGTCAGAGTTTGCTCCAGCCTCTTGGAGTGCTGGCCTGGTACTGCAGTACCTCCAGACCTGGTGCTTATTCCGTCCTGGGGAAGCAACTACCAGGTTGTTTGTTTTGGGTTTTTTGGCTTTTTGGGTTTTTTCTTTTTTTTTTTTGGGGGGGGGGGGGGGGGGGGGG